CCCTCACTATTCTTGAAAGAATCATTTGTGTTCATAGATAAGAGAAGGTAAACTTCTGACACAACCACATGAAGCTGGAAAGGAACTGGCATGCCATCACTGTGTTGAATTTGGACTCCATGTGAGTATTTGTAAAGGATGTAAACTCCAAAAGGGTTTTTAGTTTTTTTTCTTAATAGGGCTATCCTCCCTAAGGGCAAGATACGAAAGGCAGACATTTTGCTAAATCATGGTTAATCTTTTAGCTAGCTACAGGGCCGATGATTCTTCAAAAAGGGCACAGGCAAAAGTGCTGCTAACCTGGGCTTACAGATCACCAAATCCAATTCAACCAGCACAGAGAAGTCAGAGCTTCTGCAGACACATTAGTGCCTTTATCTGCAACCGCAGACTTTTGTGTTTATCTAGCTCGGTCTTCACCTTCATTGATTAATCCAAATGTCTGGAAGTAATTACACCTAACTGTTCGTTGCTCGCAATAAGAGGGTGCAACAATGGCATGGAACATAAAGGGAAGAAAAAAAAGCCAAAGTGTGGGTTATTTATAAGCCACAGACTTACCTTCTTAATTATTATAACACTGTAATATTAATAAAATTAGCTTGCATTTCCTAAACACACTGGTGAGAAAGAAGTCTATTTTGGGTTAAAATGAGGAGATAATATCACTTCAAGATATGTTTTCTAAGTTTGGATCTCAATACTATTTACTTTTACTTTTTTCTTTCATTTTTCCCTCCCAACCTTTCACAGCCCAGAACCAGTGTAACAGGAACTTATACAGATGTGCTGTAGGAAAGGTTTGAAGAATCAAGACATGTGGAGAAACCAGATATTGTCATGTTGGTAAAGAGCCAGTAGTTCTCTGTATTCCATCACATGCTTATTTTCACTTCTAAGAAAGCAGAGTTCAAATGTCTTTTCAGACCAGAGACAGGTGAGAAGGGATAGGGAGGTGGGCAAGGAGGCTCAACAAAGTCTGAGAATAGCACAGTGTATCTGCCAAGGTGACTTGGTGCCCAAATTTCCTCCACCACTTCAGAGCTGCCTCTGCTTCAAACCCGCCTCTGCTTCAAACCCTGTTGCTATCGGGTCATAGCAGGAAAAAGTTCTGATGATTTCACTTGTTTCTTGCTTGACACATTCTTCAGGGTTTATGTCTCTTCTTTTTCAAACCAGCCAGTGTTGTTTTTGTGTAATAAGAAATATCAGACAAGTCTTAGGATGTGGAAGTAATGTTTGGGTTAGTTTGCCCTCCCTGGCTCTCTCCTGAGAAATACTGTTTTCTGTAGCAGCATCTACCATCTTTTATACCACAAAGGAGTGATGGAGGTTTGCTAGCTGAAATTCACCCTTCAATGGTTTCATTCTCTTGTCCATAAAGGCAGTGCGAGCAACTACTGCCCTGTGATTTCTGGCACTCCCAGTGGAAAGGAAACACAGGAGCTAAGTTAGGGCAGAGCTTGCCCAGTTGGGCCTTCAATTACAAAAGCATCATGGTTTCCCTTCCTCCCCAATTACCACTCCTTCCCTGGTTCCCACTTCCATTTGCATCCAGCTGAGTTGGCTAACCTTCCTTTCCTCACCCTGAAGGGTGAAAGAAAACACATCTTGCTCCAGAGCAAAGGAATACTAGGATAAATGGCAGGTTCTGAGGGGGCTACGGAACCTGAGGCTTGCCAGAGGACAGCTTGGCTGAATGGGTTCCTGAAGCAATGCATCTCCAACTGTCCCTCAAACAGCAAAGGAACGGGATAATGCCATTGGCATTCTCATAACACAGCACTTGTACTTCATAAAGCTTGTTCTTATATATTATCTCCTTCAATTCTCAAAATGGTTGTATTTGTCCCTTTTTCTAAGAGAGAAATTTAAATCTCAATGAAGCTAAGTCACCTGACCACATCCTCACAGCTGATTAAGTGGCAAAGCTAGCATTTCAATCAGGGTTTTATCACCTTGAGTTTATTATACTCCATAGACCCCTGAAGCTATCTCGTATATAAAAAATAGTGGAATAAACTTGAAGAAATTAAAGAGGGTCAGAAAGTGACTGAGACAGGAGTCAAATCCATAGGGGTAGGACTAAGGGCTATTTACATGTGTTATCAAACCCCCTTGAATGCCATAAGCGGGAACTGTCAACCTTGATGAAAACTACTCCTCAGGAAGATTCTTCAACGATTCCCTATTGTGGAGAGGGAAAACAACCTGAGGTTCCTTAGCACACCACGCCAGATAGGCCCTCTCCCTTCTGACTCCGTGCAGCTTTCAAGCCTCATCTCTTGCCACTCCTTTCCTGCACGCTGTGCTCCTACTGTGCTGTGCCACTTGCAGCTCTGCATGTTTCTAATTTTTAAATTTCTTAATTGTAGTAAATACAATTTTAAAATTTACCATCTTAACCACTTTTAAATGTACAGTTCAGTAGTGTTATGTATACTCACACTGTTGTAAAACAGATCTCCAGAACTTTTTCATCTTGCAAATTTGAAACCCTGTACCTATTACAGAACTCCTCACCCCCTCAACCTCCCACAACCACCACCCTACTCTGTTTCTATGAGCTTGACTACTCTAGGTACCTCAGATAAGTGGAATCATGTAGTATTTGTCTTTTTGTGACTACTCTTTGTCTTTACACACATTGTTCATTGTTCCCTCCATCTGGACACCCTCCCCATGCTTTCACTGGCTAATTCTTATTAATCCTTCAGGAGTCAATTCAGATATTATCACCCCAGACTTTCCATGGTCCCTCATTCTCAATTAAGGGCCTTCCTATATATTTAGTAGTGTATTAATCACACCCAATTGGAGTTGTCTGTGTTCTAACCCCTTGATACTCAAAGTGTGCCTGAAGATCTGCATTCTCATTGGCATACATCTGGGAGCTTGTTCAGTACAACATACTAGGCCTTTAACAAGATTCCAGGTTAATCACAGTCACACTAAAGTTTGATAAGCACTCACTAGATAGACAAAGGGTGTGCAAACTACTCTTGGGCCAAATCTGGCCAGCTGCCTGTTTTTGTAAATAAAGTTTTATTGGAACACAGCCACAGTCATTTGTATATGTATTGTCAATGGCTGCTTTCATGCTACAATGGAAGAGGTGAGTAGTTGCAACAGAGACCTCCATGTGGCCACAAAGCCTAAAATATTTATTCTATGGGCCTTTACCAAGAGTTTGCTGACTTCTCTACTAGACTATAGGATCCTTAAAAGTGAGAACCTGGTCTTATTTGACTTTGTAAGAAGAAAGGCAGATATATAATAGTTATGCATGTAGGCTTGAGAGTAGACTGAAAAGATTTGTATCTAGGCTCTGCCATTTCCTTGCCAGTGACTGTGGCAAGTCACAACCTCTCTGTGCCTCATGTTCCTTATCTGTAAAATGGGGATATATAATATAACCTACCTTACAGGGTTGATGTGTGGGTTAAATAAGTTATTGTATGTGAAGTGCTTTAAGTGGCGCCTTGAGCAAATGTTACCTCTTAGCTGGTACCACCCCTGTAACAGACATTGTCTATCAACACCCATTCTCTGCTTCTTCCTTGCTAACATCTAATGATTTTTTTTAGGTATTTAACCTTCCTGGGGTGACCTCCTGTCTGGGGGGTAAATACTGTTACAAGCCAATCATGCTAATGCCCTTCTCAATGTCAGTGGATTGGCTTAGGGGTAGGCAGTTCTGGCCAATAAGTCATGAGAAGAGGATTCTTGAAGGGCTTCTGGGAAATGGTTTCCTCATACTTTAAAAGAAAACATGGAAGAGATACCCTGTTCTTTCATGGGTATCGTTAGGTATGAATACGATGCCCCAAACTGCAGCAACCATGAAGGTAGATAGTCTGAGAACAGAGCTAACACGTTTACAATGGCAGAGCACAAAGATGGAAAGAATCTGGGCCCTTTATGAAGTCAGAGTTGCTGAATCCATCAACGCCTGGGGCTTACCTACTTAGGTACTGATTTTATGGAAGAAAATGAATTTTCCTAGTAGTTGAACTTCAGTCTAAGGCAGCCTAACTCATCTACCCAGGGATCAAGTTCACACATATTTTTACTTCACCCAGAACCTAACAACTGTTGTTGGGTGCTATGAGCAAAGAAGAGTGGTAGTTGGAAATGAATGGGCTGGGTAGGGCAAAAGAATCAAGAATGTTCTGGGTTAGTGCAAGCCCAATTCTTCACTGCCTGTTATCCCTGTCTCATCTGGGAGTATCTTTTCCTGATACCTGTGGCTCTCTCCCAAATGCTTATCTTCTTTGTTGCCTGAACCTGCAAGCCAAACTTGGCAGGTCATTTCAAAGCCAGATGGGTTTTGATTATTTCCTTGGCAATATCCATTATTTCCCTCCTGGGTAGGAGAGTCTGAGAACAGCTTATCTTTTAGGGACAGAGAGAGTAGAGGTGGGGTCTCGTATACAGCATACAAGGAAGTTTTCTTTGGGTTGGAAGTGTCAAAAGATTCCTTAGAATTTATAACCACAGGGATTTTACGGTGTGTCAGCTTATGTACTGGTTTTGTGTCACATTTGAGCCAGAACTAGCAGCAGAGATGCAAAGTCATATAGGTGGCTAAGTACAGATGAGGGTAAAGTATGGGGAGAGAAGGGTACAGCAAACAGGCGGGCCACCTCCACCGATCCCAAAGAGCATCTTGGCCCCAGCTGAAGGAGGCAAAGGATCAGCTCCAATAAGTCAGGCTGGACTCCCTGCAATTCCACACTCCTGCAAATACTTACCAAAGGTAGACATGCTGAGCTGCTTGTGCCTGTGAGTGTCTAGGGTCGGAGATGCTTTGAGAACCGTGGAGCCATAAAGTCACTGTAACAATCAACTTTTAAGGCTGGAAGGTGCCAAGAGATATTATCTCATTCATCTCCTTGCCTTCAGGCAATAATAGCACACCTAAAGTCTCCTAATTATAGCAGGACACATTTTATGGTTAAAAGCCTCCAGAAGGGGAAAAAAAAGTAAAAAGATTTCACAACTTTCTTCCATAAGTCACTTTAATTGTATGTACACCACCTACTTTAGAGTCAAAGAGAACCTTAACGCTTGTTCTAGATCCACCCCCTTCTCGTCAATCTAACTCCAAGACCCTCCTCCAAATGGGAGGATCTACAATTCAGCGAAAGCAGGGCACTAACAGGCAAGAGCGAAGCTAAAAGGATGAGGGGTGCTCCCAGTGACACCCTTTAAACCTTTTTTGTCAGCTAGCCACATGCATTTAATGTGTAGCACTTCCCTCATGACTTCCTGTCTGTCTCCTTTCCTACTAACGATTTCTCGTAATGGCTCCATTTTTCTAATAGACACTGCAGCCCGAGAGAGCTCCTTTGCCTTATCACTGGTGTTCTTAAAGACTAACTGGATCCTTAAGGAACAGGAAGCAAAGAGTTTTTCATAGGTAATCAATTTCCTGCAAGTTTGCTCATCTATCTTATCGGTGCAGATTAAAAGTTCCCTGCCAGAGACTTGTGAAGAGAGAACCCGTTATTGCCCTTGGTTTCCTTCTCTTTGGGCGTTCTCAGCCGTGAGCAAGTGTTTCCCCTCCCTTTGGAAGCACTGGGGTGAATATGCAACTTGCCATGCAATTTTGTTGAAGGCAGACAGAGAGAAGGTCACAAAGGAAAAAACTCAACTGCTCTTGGGGAGCGTGTTAGAAGGAAAGCTAATAAATAAAACCTGTGGTGCAACTCTCTTTCAGGAAAGGGTGTGGAGGGTGGGGTGGATCTACCAGAAGCTTTGTCAGTCTGCTTTGAAGTCTTCTGGACAGGAAAAGTGTAGCTACCCAGAGAAGTAGACTTCAATGGCATCCTCCATAGGGCTGATGTGTTGGAGAACAGCCAATGAGCAAGGAGTCCCTTGAGAAACATTTTCCCTCCCTCTTTTGGAATTGCTGGGAAACTAGGTAAGACGCACAGGTCTGGCTTTCAAGAGTGGTCCTGAAGGAATTTTCAGTTTCCTGGTGGGAACAGAGAGCTCAGAAGATTGTCTTCTACTCCACGGAAGTATGGCTATTGTTTTTTTCTTGGTCTATCTAGAGCCTGTCTGTTGGTGGATTAGGCACATGTATGCACAGGGCCAGGCTATCAGCAAACAATCTTAAGGAGGAAGGCAAAAGGAGGGGCAAAAGGGGCTCATTTTTCTACTTTACAGGTTCCTTTTCCAAAAGAAACAAGATCTACCCACCAGCAACAATCCAAACACTACAAAAAATGTATGGAAATTGATATGCATGCAAGTGGTACATAGAGCCCCCCGTCACCTGCTACAATCGGAGTAGAACTGGGGGGAAAACTGTGCCACTGAGATCCCATGCCTTCTGAGCAGCAGCCAGTTCCAGAAGGCACAGGCTTCCTGACTGGTCTCTGGGTGGCAGAGTAACTCTCCTTTCCCAACCTTCAAAGACTGGGTGGAATAACCTATGGCTAAGGGGAGTCACCCATCCTCTTGAGGTCGCCTGGGGTATCGGAGGCAGAGGTGGTTATGGTAGACTCCTCAAGGGAGGCACTGAGATCCAAGAATTCCAGGACGATGTCCCAAAGGCAGTAAATCAAATGCCTGAAATAAATGGACAAAACAACTTAGAGGAGGGTCTGGCTCAGTCAAAAGACATCGGATCCTGTTTATGCCATTTATTTTCCCTTCCCTCCTCACCCATTACTGATATCCTTAGTGGACACTAAACTTCAATAGCTTGATGAAGACTCTGCCATGAAATAAGTCTGTTGAACTAATAAAGGCTATGACCCCAATAAAGGTAGAAATAGTGCTTGAGACCAGATTTTAGGAAATTCCATATTTATTTATATAGCTACATTAGCACATCAGCACTGCTCCCAAGAACTGTGAGAGAGGAAAAATCCCTGTGATATCAACTTAAGAATTTTCAGAGCTTCTGACTACTGCTATTTCTCATAATTAATTACTATAGATTTACAGGTTACCTTATAGGTAATGAGGCAAAAACCAGGACCCTTAAGGACTGGGAGTTAATAGACGCAGTCTGCTTTGGGACAGGGTTTGAGAGAGGAGTATAAGTACTCCATACTTTTCAGAAGCATTCTATCCCAAGGTACCAGCCAGGGAAATACCTACCTCTTCTGGATTATTCTAGGAGTGTTCATCCAGCACTTCATTTCTGGTCCCTTTGTGGGAGTCCAACCTCATTATCTTGTCTACCTTATATTAAGCAAAGACAATTCCTGATCTTTACACTAATCATAGCTTTGCTGTGAGGTCATAAACCTATGGCTGAAAAATCATAATTTTATTATGTAATGCACAGGCCAGGGGATGTTCTTACGGTGTTCACAGGAGTTGGGAGATGTTGGAAAGAACCGTTAAGCACACTGAAAAGCCTGGAGGCTGACGGTATTTTCAGTGGTTCATGTGGGGGCCTGCATCAAGTTTTTCTAAATGCAACAGCGGCTGGTCCAACACTAGCTTACTACCACATGACAACCTACTCAGAAGCCGGCAGCGTGGGTTTTACTTAGTGTGCGTGGCCCTGGACTCCACACTCTGCAGTCAGGGCCCAGGGCAAGGAAAGACTGCAGTCCCATTCTTCTCAATGTGGGCTGTTCACTTAGAAACCCTGGATGCCTCTGATATCAGAGACAGCTTCAGCTGTGCTGATGTTGGGTACACATTTTCAGCCTACCTGTTGATGAGGGGTTGCTGTATTGACTCCAAGACTAGACTCCAGCTCAGCTGGCATTTGTTCACCCCAAGGATTTCTACTACAATATCTGAAGAGAAAACAATAGATACGATTTTAGTGTTACCACTGAAGCCTTAGATTCTAAGTGGATTATCTCCTCACGATATCTGCTACCTTTATTCAAACTGGGTATTTCTGGCATACCGCTGAACCACACAGCCATACTAAAATCCTCAGAAAACAGGGGAAAGCTAAGAAAAATATTTCTTAAGTTAGGTGTCTAAATAAGAACAGGCCTCAAGAAATAATTTTGTAATCTGTTACTAAAGTAACAGTGTAGGTACTTCTTATGTAACAGTTTAGGTTGGAGAACAGAGGGTAATAAGAGTAAACAAAATTGTCAAGAACTAAGAGTTCACTACTGTTCCCTGCTTACCATAGCATGGCCATAGGCAACAAACTGCCTTCCCTGCCCTCTAAAAACTACACAAAGTGAAGGAAAAAAAACCCTTTTCAGAGTTTATTTTTATCTACTGCTAAGGACCATGTACCTTACTCAATGGCTCTAATTTAGGAAGGTTGAGCTTCTGCAGGACATATTTTCTTCCCTGGTCCAAAATGCCATGAGCTGTCAGAGAACCTGAAGTCTTCATCTGGTAGGAATGGCTCTGAGACCTGCCCCTGTGGTGTACACAGAGCTTCCCCGGACCTGCCCCCAAGTTATTACCCCAAATATCTGCAGGATTCTCACCTACTACTTATGGTGTGGTCATAGCGATCCTTTCCATTCCCTCAGCATCACTTGGCTGAAGGGTAAAAGAATCAGAGCCCTGATCATTTTCCTATTAGCCTAAGAAATGGTGGCTTTCTGAGTATAGCCACATTCAAGGCCCTTTTACAAACAGGGAACGGTGAAGGGTAATGGTGGCAAAGCAGGATGGGAAGGGAATGGTTATCTGTAGAATCAATCTCATTGTCCAATTACCTGGCAAGACTCCCATCAGGCTCTGCAAAGCCTGTTTCTCAGCAGCCACCTTCTGCTCCTGGGTTCTTATAGGCCGCGGATACTTAGGCAAAACTCCACCAGGCCAGATGGATTCCTGAAGAAGCTGGAGGTACTGCACCCAGCGCTGTGGACATGTAAGATTAGCTACTTGCACCTCTAGCCACCTGTGGTGGAAGAGAGAAGGAAGGTCACATAAACCTAAAGAAAGTGCGCAGCAAGGTGTGAATCACGTGAGCAATCAAAACAGGGCAGAGCAAAATTAGCACCAACTCTCACAAATGAAACCAAGCCAACTCAACAACTTGGGATCACAGCATTCGAAGATCAGTAATAATAATAATAACAATATTGTTATTTACTGAGTGTCCACTATGAGCCATATATTGGAGCAGGGGTTTTACAGAACAGAACACTAAAGGGGCCTCTATCTCTTGGGCAAGGATGCACCTTTCAACTCTCTTCCAGTGGGAAGCATTGTAACTTCTCAGTAACGTGTACATGCAGCCTTTATAGTTACAGGTTTGGTGATTTTACACAAATCCGGTTGGTCTTTAAGTACCCCTGAGCTGTCTTGAGGATTTCCTACATTTGCCCTTTGCTCATAATAGTCCTCTCAGCGACAAGGCCCTCTCCTCTCCAGGAGAAGAAGTCTGCCCTTATGGCAAGATCTGTTCAAGTCCCATATCCTCCATGAAATCCTTCTTGACCATTCCAGCTAGAAGTAATCTCTCTTCCCTTAGACTTCCTTTGGCACTTAGTTCTACAGTACAGCTTTGGAACTAATATTTTTTTTAATTATAAATAATAAACTAATTATTTTCTCATGTGTTTATAGCTTTACTTTTCCAACTAAATTATAAGTGCCACAAGAGTTCTGTGTCATACTTTCAAAAAATTTCCCACAGTGCCTTGGTGCTCAAGAAATGTTTGTTGATTGACTGACAATTGTTCTTATTAACAATGAAAAATTCCCCCTCTGTCTTACTTTCAAAAATGAGTCAATAACTCTGAGAGGGCAGATACAACAAACCTGCAGTTCCTGTAAGACATTTCAACCTTATTCTTTATTTGTCCCTGCATGTTTTCAGAGTGATACGGTTACCAGCTGAGGCTCAGGACTGCTGAGGCCTCCTTAGTATGTACCACGGTTGAGACTGGCATGGCTATGACTATAATGGGTGGACGTCAACAACTTCTACTCATGCATGGAAGACTATTTGCTACTGACCACACGGCAGCTCATGCCATTGCTCCTATAACCAAGTTACTGGTCGCCCATCCAAGAGCAGAGGGAGCTGCCAACGCAAACTTTATTTAACCTCCACTCTGCCAGACAGTCTGCATTCCACTCAAGCTAAGCATTCCAGCCTTGGGGGCTGCAATCCCCCAAGCCCAGGGCTCACAAATGATTCTAAGAATAGGAAGTCTGAAAGGTAATGGCAGGGCAAGAATGGCAGACATCGACGGAGATCAAGAGCGGCACAAAGCTGCTCTTGCCCAAAATAGCCATCACGATCGTATTTGTTATTATTAGGGCTTCATCTCCTTTTTATAGGGCTTTTCATTCAGCGAGCCTAAGACGCCTGACGAAAGGGATCCAGTAGCAAGAATTCCTGTTCCTGTTTATAGAAGAGGGTCACCAAAGGGAGGTGGATTCAATGACCTGATCAGGTTCTCTGTAGGGAATCAAATGACTTCACTCTCTTAAGCCAAGTTTTCTCTTCTACACCTCAAGCCACATATGCTTGTGTGACTTTTGCTAAGGTCAATGCTTAGTCTCATCTAAGTGATGTGAGGGAGAGAGGCAAGGTCTTGAAAACCAACATCTTTAAGTCCTCCAAGGAGCCAGGCGAATCCTAAACAAGAACCATCAGCTAGAATTAGTTCTAGCTCAGTTTTTCATTTCCATGTGCATATCATAAGCCAGAGTGCTCTTACTTTTGTCCTCTGGAGCCAATAATGCCTGCCACTCAACTCTTCAAAGGTATCTCAGCATCCTCTCAATGTTTCCTAGACTAAGCATAATATACAACAGCAAATCTGGGTACCCTGGTCATCTTCTGGGCATGTCTTACGATAAGAGTCTAATTGTTTTGAATTAATGTTAATTCACCCCATGAGAACAGGACCTCATGCTGCATATGGTAAGGATGTCCTCTTTGTTCTCTTTCATGGTGACTTAGCAACTCAAGCACACAAGCTGGGTCCAAAACAAATTTTGGCATGTGGCAAAAATATGAATTTATAAATTTATACAAATCCACAGGACTATAACTTATCAAGCACTAAATGGGAATGTTGGGAAGAAGAATCAAAGTTTTTTAAAAAGGGAAAATAAGCCCTTGATGATGAGGATGAGTCAGTGAGTCCAATCAAACTGTGGGAGCTAAGCAGAACTAACTGACAAAAACGACTGAAATCTCCAAGTAAAATATCAGCTGCTGATAAAACAAGGACACTGTCAAGCACTGTAAACCTTGAGGCACAGAACTGATCAACAGAAGGCCCCAGAAATAAGAAAAAGGACTTGTGCAAACTGGCAGAAATAAAACAAATTTCATGTCTAAAAAGAGGAAATAGTTTAGAAAGGGGCTTCTGCTGGCTAGGTGCTGCAGTTTCACTTTCCTTAGTCAGTTTCATACCTCAAGGTAAAAGACACCACACACACTTATACTACATAGATTGAAACAGTAATTCTTTTCAGGATTCTCCTCCTGCCCAGAATGCCTGTGCCTAAGAAAGTGCAGGCATTCTCCTGGACATTCGGGATTAGCCTGGTTTCATTTCCCAGCCCCAGGCAGTCTGTGGAGCAGACTAAGGGCAGCAAATCTTTCTTGTTCACAGAACTTTTCAGGTATGGTATCTCATCATGAGTGATGAATCCCAATCTGGAAGGAAAAAATGATAAAGCCCAAACCAAGAAAATCACCACCACCACTACCTCCATGACCCAAACTGCCCTGCCCCTCATACAATACAAAAAAATCTATGAGCTGTAGACCAATTTCTAAGGCATGCTTTATTATTACACACAATGCCTTTTTTAAGTTGTAAACGGCGAGATTCGAGGATTCCGTATAATGTGCCTTGCCTATCACCTAGCATAGAACCAACCACTGGTAACAATGAAGAGAATGGGATGTCTTCATCCGATGATCTCTTCTCTCCTTTCCATCTCCATTTTCCCTTTTATTCTATCATCCTCTCGAGGGAAGCTCCATACACACCACTAGTGCTTTAATCTAACTTTATTAACTCTCTCAGTCCTGCTCGACTTATTCTGAAACCGAGCTACAGCAGAGAAAGCAAAGAGATTAGGCATTGGAGTGTTAAAAGAGAGACTGACGCCTTGACTCCTCCTCACTAGTTCCCTTCATCTCTCTATCCTAGATGTTGTCTTTCTATTCTTAACCTAGGAGTGGGAAGGTTAAAAAGAAATCTGCATCCCTATAGCACTCTTGAAGCAAAAGGAATGGAATTTATGTGTCTGAAGTCCAATGTATCACAGGAGCTTTTCCAGCATCAGTTTCTGGAATCTGTTGGTACCACTTACTATTATGCTAACAGAAATCTAAAGTTTCAAGGTGGATACACACACATATCCCTCTGACTATTTATTATAAATTATTTATAAGAAATCCTTTACTAAATACTAACGCTAATGTTTATGTAATACAAGACAGATGAGGTAACTATGCTAAATTAAATATGGTAGAGAACAGCCTCAAATAGCATTGGCTTTATTTTCTACTACTATTCTAGTTTTGATATTTGATTTAGAGATACCTCCTTCTACCATCCTACCTTTTTCCCATAGGAAAGAAGAAGAAGAAAAAAAGCCAAACCAGGTCTGTTCTGTCAGGCCATCTCTGAATAACTCAGAGCACATGGAAGCCTTAACAGGGGGCCCAGAAATAGCCAATAAAACGAGAAAAAAGCAACAGCGGATTGACACTGAGACATTCAAGAGCTTCTCCGATGCCAGACATGGAAGGAGGGAGGACATGGAGATTAGAGCTTTCCACTACAGAGGGAGTGCACGTCTAGGCCATGTTCAAAGGAACCTGGTCTGAAATAGCTATAGATAGAGGAATGAAGCAGTGGCTAAAAAGGAGACAGTTTAATACTAGGGCTTACAATGGCACTTCAAGGTTAGTAGAAGGTCATTTCCCATCAAAACAGCAGAATCAAATTTCATGAGTAAGGGGAGAGAGCTTGAGGGACAATGTCAAATCTAATTAGCCCAATTCCCTTCACTTCTTTTCTAAGAAAGCTGCTATGGCTGAGGAGGAAGGGCCCTGAATGGCTTAATGGGGAAGACAGGGGGAGGAGGATAGTGAAATCATAACATAGAAAATATTCATAAGAGCAATAAACAATATTCTAACCAAATGCCTGGTGCAGTCTAAATGGAAGAGAAGAGCAGACTCATTCCTTGTACCCTATCAGCTGGGCTGTACCTCTGTAGACAGACCCAAGGGTGATTATGCTCCAACCTCATCTTAACGTACAAATACAGTTCAGAGGAAAAGAGAGAGGAAAGGAAGATCAGGTTCAAGCTTCTATCATTCTAAAGAGATCTACAGTAGATTGGAAGTGTCAACTCATTTTATTACCCTTAGAGCGGGCTTTTCCAATCTTGGCACTACTGACGTTTTGGACTAATTTTTTGTTGTGGAGGGCTGTCCTGTGCATTGTAAAATGTTTAGCAGCATTCCTAATCCCCCCAGATACCAGTTGTGACAATCAAAACTGTCTCCAGACATTGCCACATGTCCTCTGAGGGAAAGAAATTGCTCCCAGTTGAGAATCACTACCTTAGACTTAGGGTCTTTTGGATACAATGTGTCAGGCCACTTTTATAGTCATTTTAAACCTGGTGGACGTAGCACAACATTTTTCAAATTGTGTGCAGAACAGCATTAGAGGCCGTGTCATCAGCTTTGTGGTTTGTGACAACATTTAAAAACATCTAAATAAAAACAGATTAGAATAGAAAACATAAAAACGCATCTCATGTTTTGGGACCCTTTTGTTTCATATGTCTATGTATATATAGATATATCAGAAGTGTATCTGTGTGTGTGTGCGCGTGTTCATAGTGGGTCAGGATGTAAAATGTATTTCTTACTGTGGATTAAAGTTTTTAAAAAGTTTGAAAATG